ATGAAACAACAGTGGCTGGGGGTTGAAAATACCTGTGAAACTGGTTTGTTCACAAACAATGCACTGTAGACACAGAGACTCAGTAGCAATAGCAATTAGCAATATCAAAATAGCAATATTATGGACACACAATTGACTTTTTACAAAAAGCTTGACACAAGTTTATTAGTGAAAAGACCACGGGCATTCTTCCTTCCCCCTACATTCTCAGAGTAGAATAGAATTTATTATTAGTACAATTTATTATTGTGCTAAATTTAATATTATTTATTACTAATAGTTTATGCTAACACCTAGCTTTCATAATGAGAGAAGTACTACCGTAAGTACTGTAAGTACTTACTGTACTGTACTTAAGTACTACTACTGTAAGCAAAAAAAAAGGGTTTTGGAGGGGGGGGGTGTCTTTTGCTGGAAGACTCGCCCTCTTCTACTTTGAAAATACCTGTGAAACCGGTTTAATTAGTCAAAACCAGCACTCCCGCAGAGAGTGATGAAAACCGCGCAGCTTCAGGAGAATGCACATTAATATGTTGGGCTTTCGGGCTCAGGAGGATTTGCGCCCTTCAGTTCAACCTGCGGTACCGCTGTGTACTGTACATACAGTACGAACATGTGTTATTTTGAAATATAAAAATGTCAATATACTGTAGTGCCCATAATATTTGCTATTTTAGTTTTTCAAAGAATTGTTTCTGTTAAAAGAAAACTCATAGCAATTGCTGGATTTGAACACCGACCTCACTTTTATACAGTACTGTAAATCGGTCGCTTAAGCCGTGACGCCACCGATGGAAGTCATGTGACACGGACTGAAACAGCAATACAGATATTACTGTAATATGGTCGGAAGGTCAACCACATGTAAGACTTTGGTGCTTAAAATGTTTAGGGAGAAATTGAGTATTGGTGTTTATTTTTTCTTTAAAATACCAATAACAGCAACATACAGTTTACATAATATGTTTATGTTCCTAAATTAATATAGTTTATGACCTTCGTTATGATCCTCTGCATTTTATG